ATTCAACCCAGGAGACAGACATCCAGGGGACAGTCATCTCAGGAGACAGACATCCAGGGGACATTCAACCCAGGAGACAGACATCCAGGGGACAGCCATCTCAGGAGACAGACATCCAGGGGACATTCTACCCAGGAGACAGACATCCAGGGCCAGTTAACCTGGGGTACAGTCATCCAGGGGCAGCCATGCAGGGACAGTCATCCCAGGAGACAGCCATCCAGGGACGGCCATCCAGGCGACAGCCATCCAACGACAGTCGTCCTCTGTCTGGGCCAGCGTGGTGCCAGCAGGCGCCCACGCGGGGCTCACCTTGACGGGGGGCAGCTGGGCCCGCAGGTTGGCAATGGTCTCGTGGCTGTCACGCAGGCGCCGGCTGAGCCGCTCCTCCTCCTGCGCCTTCTCGGCCAGGCAGTCCTTGAGCCGCAGCTCCACCTCGGCCAGCCGGTCAGTCTTCTGCTGCACCTCCAGGTTCAGCTCCGAAAGCATGCCTTTGTTCTCCACCACCTCCAGCTGCAGCTGGGACAGCTTGTCTCGGAGCTGGGCACTCTCCTGGAGGCGCCGGGAGGAGGGTGAGGCGGGAGGCACCTGGTTAGCGCAGGCACTGGGGGCAGCAGGCCCTAGTCAGGCGAGGAGCGGGGGTCTGCGTGAAGCCCACTCACCTGGCTGTGCTCACAGCCCAGGCAGGGCACCCCCGGGTTGGCCCGCAGCTCCTGCAGCTCCGTCTCGCAGCGCCGCATCTCCTGCCTCAGTCGTTCATTCTCCACCATCAGCAGGTCCCGGTTCTTCTCCACGTCGGCGCCGCCCTGCGGAGAGCCAGCCAGAAGGGGTGAGGGCAGTGCAGGGGCAGGATGGCTGGAGGCGGCCAAGGGGTGGGGGGACAGGACACCAGCGAGGCAGAGAGGGGAGACCAAGAAAAGGAAAGAGGCTCACAGCTCACGAGAGGGAAAAAAGGAGTTCAAGGTGGAGGAGAAATGAGGAGAAGCGCCAAGCAGGGACTGCTCCCTCCTGCCCCGGGAGCCATTCTATTTTCTCGAGTGTGAAAGTAACAAGAAAGTCGTATTTATACCCAGGAGTTCACACTCTTATTTTACGTCAGCAAATAGAAGTTAAGTCCTCCCAAGTCACACGACCCAGCGGGCACTCCGAGTGGTGGGAAAGACCACCTGGGGGGAGGCTCCAGGGAGACCCCGTCTAAAAGGGCCGGGGTCCTTCCACCCGCTTCACCCTGGGGGGGGGGCGGGGTCCTTCCACCCGCTTCACCCTGGGGGTGCCGGGGTCCTTCCACCCGCTTCACCCTGGGGGTGCCGGGGTCCTTCCACCAGCTTCACCATGGGGGGACCGGGGTCCTTCCACCCGCTTCACCCTGGGGGCGCCGGGGTCCTTCCACCCGCTTCACCATGGGGGGGCCGGGGGCCTTCCACCCGCTTCACCCCGGGGACAGCTCACCAGCTCGGACCGAAGGCGGCTCACTTCCTGGGCCTGGCTGATGAGTTTCTCCTTCAGGTTCTCCACCTGCCAGCACAAAGCCAGGGTCACAGGGCGCCTTCTCAGCTCCAATCCAAACCCAGGCCACAAAACCCACACCTGTGGTACCCAGTGTGGCGTCTTGAAGGCCCTCAGACCTGCCCCCTCTCCCATGCTCAGGCTTCAGACCACGCCCAGAGTCACCAGAGGAGTGAACCCAGCCTCGTCCTGACAGCCTTCAGCCCCATCTCCTACTACGGGACCCACCGGACCAGGTTCTTCAGGAATGTCCGGGGAGCAAGTGCAACGAGTGACCCCACACCGCCAAGGGCTCAGCCCAGGAGCAGCTCAAGTACAGCGGGGTGACCCCACATCACCAAGGGCTCACCCCAAAGGGCAGCACAAGTACAACAGAGAGACCCCACACCAACGAGAGCTCACCTCGGGGCAGCTCAAGTCCAACAGAGTGACCCCACATCGCCAAGGGCTTGGTCAAGGGGCAGCTCAAGTACAGCGCGGTGACCCCACACAGAGAGCTCACCCCAAGGGGCAGCTCAAGAACAACAGGATGACCCCACACCCCCAGTGCCTCGGCCAAGGCGCAGCTCGAGTACAGCGGGGTGACCCCACACCAACAAGTGCTCACCCCAGGGGCAGCTCGAGCACAGCAGGGTGACCCCACATCACCAAGGGCTCAGCCCAGGGGCAGCTCACAACGAGAGTTCAGGAAGCAGAAACCTCAGGGCCCTTTGGCCTGATTTAAGTTTTCCAATATTTTCCCTTAAAAGGCTCCCCAGATTGTATCAACCTTCTCCCTCACTCCCGGCGAGCCCATTCTGACCCACAGCGCCCTCTGTTGGATCCCCAGGCTCTAAGTCTTAACTGGAGGCCTCCTGTCTTCTCCCAGCAGAGCTGTTGGTGAATCCGGACAAGCAGAGATGCCAACACACCACGATTACATCACCAGCACTCCAAAACCCAGGCCTGCCCCGGGCCAGCCCTCAGGATTTTCCACTTCAAGCGGCTCTTGCAACACTATCTATGGTGACAGGTGTGTCCACCCCAGCCGGTCTCACAGGAGAGCTACGGCACCTGCGGCTGCCTCAGGAAAGGGCTGTGAACGTCATCAGGAGGCAGGGTGACCTGGCTGAGCCGGAGCCCAGATCGGAGGACCCAGCACACACAGTGCCAGCCGAGACGGCGGGTCCAGCTGGCCACCCTCCTGGCAGGCTGCAGACTCCTGGCCACGGCAGCTCACTTCCAGGAACCTCTCCTCGTGAAATAACCCCAAATGCAGGGACTTTGGGAGTATATTCCTCAGAGCAGGTTTGGGACATTTCTCACCAAATATTCCAAGATGACCTCACCTTGGAAAAGGACTGGGTGTCCAGTCCAAGAATGCAGGCCCTGCATGTGTTGTCTCCAATCAGCTAGCAGGGGCCAGACACTGACATTTTCAGGGAGAGAGAAGGAACACAGGGAGGCCTGGTGCAGTGTTTAGGGAGCTCTGGTGGCCTAGTGGCAAGAAGCTGCACTACAATCCCAAAGGCACGTGGTTCGAATCCACTAGCTGCTCTGTGGGAGAAAAATGGGCAATCTCCTCCCACGTGTTTAACTGCCTCTGAAAACCCACCGGAAGGTCAGCTCTGGGTCGGTTCTCAAGGATTCACAACCACAACAGCACAGCACGGTAGATAAAGTGCCAACTAAATGGTCTGTACCCACCAGCCACTGACCAGGAGCAAGCCGTTGCCATTTGCTTCCATAAAGACAATGGCCTTGGAAACACTATGGGCTGGCCGGCTCTGCCCACCAAGGGCCTCTGTGAGAGACCGTCAACTTGAAGGTGTCGAGTCTGGTGTAAGATCTCACTTCACGGGACTGAAATGTCATAAATCACATTTATGGAGAAAGTGCCCACTCACGGCCCAAGCAGGTGACCATGGCCTATGGCCAAGCAGGTGAGGTAAGGGCTGATCCAGACAAAACTGGGTCACCTCTGTCCTCAAGCTACATGCTGGTCATGAGCCACGGCGGGCAGCAAAGCCCGTGTTACGTTGTCTCTGCCTGTGATCAGGGTCCCTTCTCTGTTCTAAGTCATAAGAGAGCTCAAGTCCCTCGGCCCACTGGGGAGTTAGGGACCCAGCTTAGCTAGTCAACATTAAGGAAACGGTAGGACACTATTCTGTAGGGTGCTCTCGTGGCCATGCGGGAAGAAGCTGCACTGCAATCCCGAAGGCATGCAGTTCGAATCCACCACTCAAATGATATTTAGTGAGAATTTTAAGTGGTTTAGGGAAAAGATTCCTTGTTGTTGTTGTTATGTGCCATCGAGTCGTTTGCTACTCATAGTGACCCTATGTATAACAGCCCTAAGCCCTGCTCTATCCTGTGCCAATCTCATTGCCTCTGACACACCCATCCCGATTATCCCAGTCACTGAATCAATCCACCTCATAGAGGGTCTTCCCCTCCTGCACTGTCCCTCTACTCTACCCAGTATGATGTCCCTCTCTAAAGACCTGTCTCTCCTTACAACATGTCCAAAGTATGTCAGACGAAGCCCCAGAATCCGTGCCTCCAAGGAGCAGCCTGGTTTAATTCTCTCTACGATGAATCTGTTTGTTTTCTTGGCAGTCCATGGTACATTCACTACTCTTCTCCAGCACCACAGCTCCTTACGTTAAGAAAATTGAGATAATCAACGTGTCTACAATTGAGGAAAAGTGGAGGTCTCTGGAGTGTACAATTATAGGTGACAATTTCTGAACACCTTTCAGTGACTGTTAAGTTTCCACAAATGATATGTATTCCTTTTGCAATTCTTCCTCACCATAAATAACACGGCTCTTCCTTCTCCTGAAAAGGCTAGAGTTCCCCACCCTCACTTTCCTCCCTCAGAAAGCCCCAGAATGTCCACTTGGACCAGTGTCCTTCCAGGCCACCTGCTCAGCTTCCAGCCGGGGCCCACTGACCTCACCGTGTGCCGGCATGGCCTCGTGCTCAGGTCCTGGGCCATACGAGTGAGCTTCTCTAGTGCCGGCTTGGGGATCAGGACGGTGGCCCCCTGCCAGCCCTCAGTCCAGCCTCCTGCTCCCTTCTTATGTCACAGACAGAACCCTGGGTGCCGCTGGGCTCTGGAATCCCCGAGGATGCCCCAGAATGATGGAGCCGGGCCGGCTGGGGCCGCTCAAGTGGCGGGGGAGGCTGGCTTGATAAAGGGGCTGTGAGAAGTGGCAGGCTCTCATTTCCTAGCATGTCGGGGCAGCGGGCGGCAGACCAACACAGGCTGGCTGAGCACAAAGCACCCCACGGAACTGTGCCACGTGGAGCTGGGAAGAAGAAAAGGGATTTCCCCCCCAGGAGTCTGCTTTGCAGTGGCTTTCTGGGGAAGGTGCCAGGCTCCTCAGAGTCAGGGAAACAGGGCAAAAAGGTCAAGACCAAAGGAGACACCAGGGGGAGGCTGAGGAGGTAGGAGAGACCAGGAGGCCCCGTGCAGAGAGCAGGAGCTGAGCAGGTGCCACTGAGGGAGACCCACTGGAGACCCCGGCTGACCCCTGTGGGCACCCATGCACCCACCACGGGTGAGTCAGCAATGACTGTTTCCATCCACACGCCCAGGAGAGGTGGACCAGAGCCGCCCTGTTTGTGACCAGCACAGAGCACATCTTCAATAATGTCGGAGATAAAGGCCTGTCCTGTCTATGACCAGAACACAGCACACCCTCAGTGAATGTCTGAGATAAAGGCAAAGGGGTAGTATACACGCTTTTCACGCAAAGGTCCAGGACAAAAAGAATGCCAACCAGGACTGGGGTCAATCCCGAACTGAGAGGAGGGCCAGCCAGCTTTTCCAACACTGAAAAATGACAGCGTCTCAAGCCTGCTGCAGAGAGGCCTCAGCCCTGTGCTGCTGAGAGGGCGGTGGACGCCGCTAAGAGGGCGGTGGGCGGCAGGCCTGTCCCTGGGTCCCGCAAGCCCACAGTGCCCTTCCAGGCAGCAGCAGGCCCAGCAGAGGGTGGGGCTGCCGGCCCAGGTATGTCAGCTCAGCAAGCCGCTCCTGAGGTGGGGCCCACAGCCTCTTATCAAAGCAACCTGCAATTACCGCCCTCCACAGGCCCGGCCGGGCTGATGGGATCTGCTGAGGAAGAGAAGGCTCTTTTCGGGGTGTGGCCAAAGCCTTGCTGAGCTGGGAAGGTAAGAGCGCCCCAGATCCTGAGCCTCAAGACCAGAGGCCAGCAGGGAGCACCCCCTCCTACAATCACCCCCAACCTGCCCCCAGTGTGCTTTCCTGGGCATTCTGCCCTGCCCACCCCACGCCACCTCCACTGCCAAGCTGCCATGTTCCAGTCCTTTCTGTCACTGGGGGGCAGCAAGGGCTGTGGAGACGGGGGTTCTTAGAACCAGACTCCCCGAGTTCTGTTGTTGACTGTATAACACGTCGCTGTTGTTGTGTACCATCGAGTCGGAACTGACCATACATAGCTGACCCTCCGGTGGGTTTTCAGAGGAGGTAATGGCACAGGAGGAGATTGTCCCTCCTCCTCCGGAGGAGCAGCTGGTCGCCTCGAATTGCACACCTTGGGGATTGCAGTGCAGCTTCTTGCCACTAGGCCACCAGAGCTCCCTACATATAACACATGTGAACAACAGATCCGAACCCTGCCCTAACCTGCACCGTCTCATCGTGTCTCCTACACTCGAGCCCTGTGAGAGCCACTGTTTCAACCCATCTTACTGAGGGTCTTCCACTCTTCCACAGACCCTCCCTCCACCTGTCCAAGCAGGAGGACGGGCCCCTCTTAATAACATGCCCAAAGTATGTGAGACCAAGATTCACTCTTCTTGCCTCCAAAGGGCACCCAGTGGCCGCACCTTCTCCACGACACAGTTGCTTTTTTGACAGTTCATGGGACATACAGCACATTCCAAACCACACCTCCAAGGCATCGATTCTCCCTTCTGTCGTCCTGATTCATTATCAACTTTGAGATGCACAGCAAATAACTGGAAAGACCTGGACCTGGGTAAAGTGTACCTCAGTCTTT